AAACATCTTTCTTTTCCGTCATTTTTTTAATGTGAAAACGTCTTGTGGAAAACGCTAGAAACCTTGCGCTATGCCCCATCAGCGAATCCCTAAACCCTTAAAAATGTGAAAACATCCTTTTTCTTGTGTTTTCCAAGTTAATGTGAAAACAGCCTTAGGTAGCGTGCTAGAAGCGTTGCATTTTTTTTTTTTTTAATCCCCTTAGATTTCCCCTCGCTTCGATTGATCCTAAATCCCAAATTGTGAAAGCGTCTTTTTTTTTGAATATATATTTTGCAATGAAATGCTGTGAAAACGTCCTCCAAGAAAAAAAAGCCTCCTTGAAACGTTTCCCACTATGCCCTTGCGAGGGTCTGAGCCCTCGGCATTCTAACTCTTCAGGTAAGAGAGGTCGACAAGGGAGGAATACACGCCACTCTTCTGGTGAGGACACTGCATAACTTTTGCCCACACCGTCGTCCATGACCGCAAAGGCCCTCCGCCTGTCCTCTGGAATGTCTCGGGTAAACCATCCTCTCAGCATTGTCGGGATATCTCCATGCGGCTTGTATTGCCTTTCAATCAGCTCCTCCGCAACGACCCTGATGTGTTCCTCCCACCATGACTTGTTGTGCACTTTCGCAATAAGTGCACCTGTCTCTCGCTCCCTGATGTGGGCCTGCCATATAGGCGGATTCTCGCACCCTCCAATGAACTTCAGCATCCGCAAAGGGTATTTTCGACCGTCCGCACCCACAAGGTCGAAATCCACGAGAGAACCGCTAACATTTCCTAGGAGGACTTTCAAAGGCTTTTTATCGTATGACCTGATCTTCTTCTCGCAGAAGGCGTAGATTTTCTTGCTGATAGTCTGATCACTCTTCTGATTGACGTTCATGCCCCAGCGCGCAAGATGCTGCCCATGCTGAGGGGAGAGGTTTGAAACAAAATGGCGAAGAAATAACATGGAAATCTCCTCAACTTCTGTACATGGCCTGTCCTCCTCTTCATCACTCCCATCACTAGAATCACTATCGTCATTTTTATCCTCATCATTTTTTTTTTCGCCATGCAAGAGCTTGGCCGCAAAATTCGTCGCCATATCGGCGAGGAGGACTGCGTCATTTTCCGGAACCCCCTTAGTCCGGCAATAGTCTTTGAAGTTGGCGCCAAAATCATCAACGCTTTCCTTCATGAGACTAATTCCTCCTGGCTCTGAAATGAATTCGTGGAACAGATCCGCATCATAATCATAGTCAAACGATGTGCTGAGCTCGGCTAGCTGGACGGGTGACACGTGGAGTCTCTCAAAAACACTTCCTTCGAAGCTGAAGCAGAAGTCAAGGATCATCCTCTCCTCATCCGCATCGCCACCACCACCGCGAGCTTTCTTCATCTCCATCTCCATCCTTCGTCTCAACGCTCTCTCTTCTCTTGCCCTTGCCTGTTGCAGAGCTATTCGTTGATTATGCTTGGACGAGGCAATCAATATTGCACTGCCAATACCTGATTTTCTTCCCGGGGAAAAAAAAAAAAAAACTTCTTTACGGGACAGTGTGCATTTCGATTTTCTGATGAGAGACTCAGACAGATTGATGACCATATAAAACTGATGAGCCACAGCATCAACTGATGAAAGATGCGTGCTTCCTTGTTCCTAACTAGTATCCAATTGAAAGAAAAATAAAGACTGCAACATCAGTCAATCATGATGAAGGAGAAGCGGAAGAGGGAGCTCGAGGAAATGAATAGCGACTGATGCTTAACATATTTTGGTGGCGTGACGAAGTTGAGTTCCCCTCCCCCGCCCCACCGATTTGGACCAGACTTTGGATGTATCACGGACTAAGGACGCCCTACCTTCATTTCACATGCTCTCGATTGAGCCTCTCGGATGTATCTAGTCGAATATACAACCAGATTAGCATATGTTCATTGGAGGATGATTAAACCACAACATGGTCAGTTCACTCATTGGAGGCCGATCAAATTACACCACCCTTTGAAGCTCAATTTCGTCACGCCAGCAAAATATTCCAATTTAACTAAAACTTCTAAAAGGCACTCGTACGTGCACATTTCACTCTTAGACAAGAAACATTTTTTTTACGATTGTATTTTAACAATTGGGAGTGGGTTCCAGGAACAGGGACTTCCCTCAATGAACCTGACCGCAATGACAGCTAGGTTCTATACAAGAACGTCCTCATTGGCTAAACACTTGGCAACACAGCCATCAGATAAACAAAATGCGAGAGGGTAAAGCATAAAAAAGAAAAAGAGAAAAAAATCGATGATCGTGCTTGCTGCTGGGAGGAGTGGGCGGCGCTGACTCGCGGACTTGGGAGGGGGCACACAGTGCCACACACAGTACGTAGCACAAGGACTTCCCTCGATGAACCTGACCGCAACTACGGGTAGGTTCCACCCACGCATTCCCAACACCATACTTATGCCTCCTCATGCTTCTCTCCTGTGTAATCCGAAAACACAACCATTACACTTCAAGGAAAAACGGAAGAAAAAGGAAAAAGAAGTTTAAAGAACGCAAATACCTCACCATCAGTCTAGCTTGATCATGATGTCAACAAAAAATGCAAAGGAGAGGAAAACGAACCCAAATTGCTCACCATCCCTCTAGCTTGATGACGTCAGCAAACCACGTGTCTGAATAGTGATGACGTCAGCAAACAACGTGTCTGTAGACTCTGTACTGATGACGCCAGCAAACCAAGTGTCTGTGGTGATGACATCAGCAAACCACTTGTCTCCAGTGATGACGTCATCAAACAACCATTGTGAGGGATTGTTCAAGTGACTGGACCGTGTTTGGTCAACTCCCCGTCACCCTTATATCCCGGCAGGTGCGTGGTATGAGCAACGGATCGTGCAGCAAAGGCTCTTCAAGCCCACCACGTGGAAGGTTGTCATGTGCCATTAGTCACCCATCCCCTCGCTTTGAGGCCTGTGGGGGTCTTGCCGCAGACGGAAAAGAGAGTACACAAGATAAGGTAGATAGATGAGAGAGAGAGAAGTAATATAAGATCAGATACATGGATAGGTAATATAAGATAAGGGAGAGAGTACATAAGATTACACAGATAGCCTAAGATAGGTAATATACATAATGGAGAGAGATAATAAGATTACATACATAGGTGATATAAGATAAGATTAGATAAGATAGAGAGCAGAGTAGACTAGTGTACAGTTGAGGGTACAGTACAGACTGCTAGATAAGATAGAGAGCAGAGTAGACTAGTGTATAGTTGAGGGTACAGTACAGACTACTACAGAGTAGAGTACAGCCGAGGAGAGTATAGAGAGTAGTGAGCGGAAGTAGAGAAGATTAGAGTAGCGTAGAGTAAAGTAGAGAGTAGAGTAGAGTAGAGTTACTCAAGTAGACTAGAGTAGAGCAGACATTAGGGTAGAAGAGAGTCCAGTGTAGAGAAAAGAAGAGAGTTAACAGTAGAGATAGACGGGGAGAGAGAGAGACAGAGAGAGAGAGAGAGAGAGAGAGAGAGAGAGAGAGAGAGAGAGAGAGAGAGAGAGAGAGAGAGAGAGAGAGAGAGA